GACCATTTTAGGCTGGACATAAGGGAAAAATTCTTTACTGTCCGAGTCCCCAGGGCCTGGAAGAAACTCCCCCCAGAGGTTGTGTAGTCACTTACTCTGGATTCCTTTAAGAAGCACTTGGATGCCTGTTTTGCTGGGATCGTTTGACCCCTGCTGACTGTCTGCCCTTTGGGCAGGGGGCTGGACCTGATGATCTTGCGAGGTCCCTTCCAGCCCTAATGTCTATGAAATCTTATTTTTTTTCTACATAGTTCTTCAACAAGGGTAGACACATTCAAAAGTTTTGCTGCTTTTATCATTTAAAAAGAAATAAAAGGAAGAAAAAAATATTTCAGGCACTTCTAAATATGTTCTAATGAAGGGATAGAAGCACAATATACACTCCAGTGAGAGAATAAAAGCATTATGCCTATATCTCTTACAGATTACATTTAAGGACCAGAATTGAGTAGACCTTCTGTGTTGCATCTCAGTCTGAAAGCTTTATTTAAACCTGAAATGTCACCTTCAAACAGTGAGGAAAGCCAGAAAGCAAACCTGTCTTTCTTCTAGAGGAGTGTTGGATGTGTGCACAGAACTGAGAGTACCACTTTCCTTTGATAACAATGATTTGTCAAAACAGTTCTGGCTGGCTCAACATCAGCTCTCTGGACAGTTCATGGGTGGAAGTAAAACTGGATTTTTTTTCCAGTTTATCTTCTACTTGGAAAGTAATTTAGAGTAAGTGTTATATGAAAGGTGCATTAGGTGCCTACATACCCAATAATGCAGGGGTGGGCAAAATGCGGTCCGCCAGACCATTCTATCCAGCCTGCGGGGCCCCTAAAAAATTTAGAAAATTAATATTTATCTGCCCCTGGCTGCCTGTCATGTGGCCCTTCATGGCTTGCCAAACTTAGTAAGTGGCCCTCCACCCAAAATAATTGCCCGCCCTTGCGATGATGATATAACATGAAAAGTGCTAACATAGCCATTCAGAAAGTGTCCCTTTTCTCCCCTTAAATGTTGAAGATTTGTCACTATTGATAGGACGAGAACAGTGGTGACTGAATTACTTTAATTGATACTGTTCTAGTTAATATATTACGTGCTTGTCAGTGTGCTGTGTATAAGAGATTTGGGGAATTTTAACTGCACTGTAGAGCAGTACAGTTTGGTTTACATCTGTTAGAGCTATTATTGTAGGTTGTTGTCAAATAAAAACGATGAGGGTTAGACACTTTGTTTTTTTTTTTTTTTTAATGAAAGCCAAGATTCTCAGATTCCACGAGCTACAGCTGTAGGAGGGACCTATAGTGTCTGGACCGTAATCCTGCCCACTAATGGGGCACTTCAGATTCATTCGGAAACTGGAACTGGCTCAGAAAATAGTTTCACAAGACCACCCAGCAGTTGTCGTAATACACTGGCTACCTAAGGATGGAGATTAGTGTGCGGAGTCTGATTGATCAAGCTCTGTGGCTTGTGATCATCCAGTTTGAGAGAGAGGTTGTTGTCCTGGGTCTTACTTCCACACCTGAAATCTGAAGCAGCTCTTCAGCTGGAAATTCTCTGATATTTGAGAGAGTGGATGGTAGGGAATTCAGCTTTGGAATTAATTCACTTCTCATCTTGCTTTGAAATAGCCCTACATTCAGACATTGGTTCAAAGCTTATTTTTTGTGAGTGTCAAGGATTTTTGTGTGTGGTGGGTATTTTTATTGGACCAATGGCACAACTGGGATAGACTTTAACCAGTTTTAGAATCTGAAATATTAGAAAGCTTGCCTAATTCTGTCTCAGCTGGGTAGTTGGTCCAATAAGACAGAGGTTCCCACACTTTTTTTCTTCTTGTGTACCACCTTCCATATTTACCAGCTGTCCATGTACCCCTACTAGCATACGGTTTATATTTTAACCCCTTAAATGTCATTTATTATAATGAAAATGAAATCTGCCATTACACAACTTCTCCTGTGTATCCCTCAGAGATGTCTTGTGTATTCCCAGGGGTATGCATACCACAGTTTGGGAACCTCTGCAATAAAAGATAACATACACAAAAATCCTTGTCTCTTGCATGCTCCCTAGATCGGCAGTGTTTTTGGGCAGAGTGCCAAAAACACTTTCAACCTTGACTTAAGATGTTGGCATGCCAGGGAGAGATGGCAAGGGTGCTGCAAGGGGTCCAATCCTTGTTTTGGCAATGCAGCCCCAGCCCCTTGCTGCCATCTGCCCTAAGCTGCACGTGCCAAACAAAATGCCTTTGTGTAACACACTTGGGTGCCTGTGCCAAGGGTTGCCTACCTCTGTCCTAGACCTTTATGGCTACAATTACTCCAGCACAGTCAAAACATTGAAGATATATCTTTTTGAGTATCATTTCATAAGAATAGAAGTGAGTCTCCCTGGGAAAAAAAATTTTGCCGTTCCAGAGTAAGTGAGCAAGCAGGTTTTTAAAGATTTATTTGTAATGTCTTTATGCTGTGCATTTTTAATTGATGGCTAGGATACCTAGAAGAAGATGTTTTGGGTGTTCACTTGCATTAAGTTAAATGAATAAAAAGTCCTCTCTGGCTTTCTTCAGCCAAAACTAATACTATGGGGATGATTTTGTGCTGCATATTGTCTGTGTTTATATACTATTGCATCCTTGTTATGAACTGTTGTGCAAGTAGCACCTAGAAAACTATGGCAGGACTGTGTTAGAAACCAAATTATTATAAGATATAGGTTCAAAAGAGTAAAATAGTTGGGTGCCCAGTTTATATTGACTTCCTTTGTAAGTTGGGCACATAATACCCTCATGCTCCAGTTGAAGATAGTTCTAATTATTCAAGTAAACTACCTCATATACACAAGGTCAGTGCATATTATTTGTATACCAACATAATATATTACCTTCATATATTATAACAGTCATCTAAGAGTTAACGTCTGAAGTGGTAGCCTATGTGTTGCAAGGAAATGTGTACAATTAACAATTACCCAAGATAAAGGGTTTCTAAAATAAGACTGAGTCTTTAAAACTTTCCATGTGTCCCCACTAAAAAATAATCTACAAAACCAGAGAGCAAACAAAACTATTCGATAAGACATGGATTTACCCACCCTGGGCTGTCTGTGATTTCCTTCCATTCTTCCTACTTCTCAGCTTCAAGCTGTTGTCTTGGGCACATTGATGGGAAAAGTAATTCTTAGACAGCTCACCAGAGCAGAGGGTTAAGGCACTGAACTCACGGGATCTGGACTGAATTATTGCTCGGCTCACAAAGTCTGTAGGAGGCACCGTCTTGGAAAAGTTACTTAATCTTCCTTGGTCTTAGTTCTTCGTTTGTGAATGTTGCTTCCCACCTTCACAAAATGGTTATAAGCATAATTCACCAATGTTTGATGTTTTCAGAAATGATGATGTTGTGAGGCATATAAATATTTTAATATATACGTGTGTGTGTGTGTGTGAGAGAGAGAGAGCAGAGGAATTAGAGATGGATTAGAGAATTAGAGATGGAAGATACAGCTACTAAACTGTCTATATCAGTCTCTTTCACTTCTAATTTTTGTGTGTTGTGGGCTTGCCTTTGTTTCTTCAGGGAAAAGTTAGCATGCTGGCTTGGTAATTGTGAAGCTGGACAAAGAGGGTGGTCTGAATGTTTTTTAACGTGCTAGCAAATGCCAAGAAACAAGGATGGTATGAAAAATATGCTTAACTAGTAGTTTGTTGGTTGTTTGCAGATGTAATAGTTATTACTGAAGTCAGCTAGGTTGCTTCTAATAATTACCATAGCAACTAAAGCTCAGAAAATACTGAAAATAACTGCTGAATGCAGCTTATGCCTTATAGTGCACATGGCCACTGTGTTATCTCTTTAGAATGTCATTGCATTCAGTTAAATGTAATGTATAATGTGGAAGCAGTGCTTTATATTACTACTTTTTAGGAAGAAAAAATGGTAGCTTGATGTTTTTCAATATTGATCTTTTTAAAATTTCACAAATGAAACAAAAATCCAGCAGACTTTCCTACTGAGACTTTCCTTTTTTTTTAAAATGTAGGTCCTGTCTCCATGAGAGAGCAACACTTTTTAACTTAATATATAGTTTTGAAACTAGCCTGGTTACACCCAGGCAAACTCTTTATTTTGCCTTTCAAGTCTTATTTGAGTCTCTCTTAAACCTGACTTCAGCTGACTTTGGTCTTCAAAATGAAAAAAAATAACTTCATTATATGCTTTTGGAAATCTGCCTTTCTTTTTTCTTCTACCTCTTTTTAGCCCATAAAGGCAAGACTTGACAGGGTTGTATATGATTAAGAATATTTTAATTAAACTCCCCCCCTCATATCTAGAATATGTGATCTCCTCCTCCCAGTTGGCTTTACCTTCTTTTTCTACTCCAATCATAGTTATATATTCCAGCTCTGAGGCTGGGAAATGTAAATTTGTTGAACCTGAAATGAGTTAGAATGGCAGGAATTGCTCAACAGGAGACTTCTGCCTAAAGTTTCAGATATTTCTCTTTCACATGCATACATGTTACTTTGCGCCTGACTTTTCAAGTGGTGTTGGAACACCTGCAGCTCCTGCTGACTTCAGCACCTATGAAAATCAGGCTCCTTTTGAATACTTGCGTCTCATAGTGTGTTAATGGATGCCCTGAGGTACCAAAGCTTTAAATTGAGGCTAGGTTTAGGCTCCTGAGTAGGGCTTAATTGTGGGAGAGTTAGCACCTATGCATGACTGCCCTGTATAGCAGCTGCTTGTCTGGAGTCTCAAAAGTTTGGTGCTGCCATTACAGTCCCATTTTTAAATTCAACACCAAAATATATTTGTGAACGACCTGTATGTTTTGACAGGGTGGACAAGGAAGAGCTATAAAAAGTATTTTGGAATTTATTGTGTGTCAAATGCAAGTCCTTTTCTAAATTGAAATCCTTTAACAGTTCTGCATTTCCACTGACCTGTGGTATCGTCCCATTCCACATTATAATGTTAACTGTAGTTACTACTTATGTTTTACAGGAATCCCTTGGCACTTGATCCAGGCATGGCCAAATATTTCCAGTTCTGGAGGAGAGTGCTAACTTGGGGAGCGACTGTTAAGACAAACCGAAAAATTTGCTGAGAACGCCCGAAGTGTGACAGGAAGGGGCAGCCTTCCAGCCCAGGAGCCATGCCTTTCGGGCTGAAATTGCGACGGACCAGGCGCTATAATGTCTTGAGCAAGAACTATTTTGTGGCACGGATCCGTCTGCTGGACAGCAATGTGATAGAGTGCACGCTTTCCGTAGAAAGCACAGGTCAGGAGTGCCTGGAAATCGTGGCCCAGAGGCTGGAATTACGTGAGGTAAGGGTGACCCAGGAATGATCATCTGTCACTTGTAATTTGGCATATTTTTAGCTCAAGCAATTTAGCGTTTGGAACCTGTTTATTTAGAATCATGTTATTCTTGGGGTTGGCCAGATCCTATCAGTACATGGAACTTCAGCAAACACATTCTGGTTGCATGAAAAATACGGGCAGTGTGCTACCTATGGCTTGTGCTGTGACTGACGTTCACCTTTCGGAAGAACTTGCATTATTTTCAGAAGATAAAATGAATCATTTTATTCCTTGCCTGAATAGCTGATGTTCCCACATCTGGGCACACATTAAATATTAAACCTCCTACTTGTGGTAAAGGTAGTGGCTCTGTTTTTTTTTTAGGGGAGGGGGGGTAGAGGGGGGTTGCTTTTACTATTTATTTATTTGTTTGTTTGTTTTAAAGGACTGCTTTTAAAAGACCACAGACAGTACTGTAAAAAGATGTCTTAGAAAATGGTGCTAATATTACATCACACAGTCATCTGGTTCTTGCATAGTTCTGATTCAGTCCTTCTTCAGAGAAACTAGAAATAGGCTAGATTTTTTTTCATTCCTTAACTTTATGAATAGTTTTTGTTTCTTTGATTATCTGTCTTGTGTTTTCCATGGATATATGTTGTCTCCATATTTTGGCTTTTTTAAGGTTGAAATGAGTAGAGAATGAGATCATTCCATCAGTTTAATTTACCAACAACTCTCTGGGAGCCAATTGTTTGTGGGATGTTACAGTCCAAAGTTATAGGCATGTGAAAAAATAGTTTACTTTACTAGAGCTCTTCAGAAAAGCTGTGTAAAGAGTGTCATGAAGACAGTCTTTCTGGTTAGAGCTCAGTAACATCAAGTTTCTCTTGATGTAACAAGACTGATTTCAGTGATTCTACTAGTTGAATTACACTAGTGATTCTATTTAAGCATTGTAATGCATTAACATTTCTGCACTTTATCCCACAGGCCAATCTTAATCAAAGTTAGATGCTTAGGTTTCCTAATTAGATGTAAAGACTTGGTTACCTCCCAAAGCTGATCCAGATTGCCTAATCGCTTTTCAGCAAGGTGTCTTCAGCTTACCAACAGGAAATGCTAGGCCCAGAGTGTGTCTGAACTCCTGCTGCTCCTCAGAAGATGGGTGTCTGACTCAGGTGTGCAAGGAGGTGTTTCTATTGTGTCTGGTCAAAATTGTCCAGAGAGGGAGATGCCGATCTAAACTAAAAGGCATTAACTCACAGCAGTGCTGACTTAAATAGACAACAGAGTATCGTAAAGAGGAGCCCGCCTTTTGCCCATTAGCCTAGTAGTTGGAGACTTTACTCCATCACAGATCTGAGCTCTAGGCTCTCTCCAGCCTAAGGGAGTTGAACCCACAGGTCCCCCCATCAGCAGAGTGCCCTAACCACTCTCTGTGATAGGCTGCCTGAGGGTTTCCTTCATCCTTTCAGTAGAAACTGGCCCACAGGAATGGGATTAGAAAGGTAGCAAGCAAAGTGGGGCTGGGGTTCCCAACCCATTTTCAGGGGAGTGTCCCCCTCATTGGGCCACTGCCAGCCTTCCTCTTCCTTGCTCTTCTAGACCCATGAATCTCGTTGTCTTGGTTGTCCTGTGGTATACCTTCCAAAAACTGGAAGGGTGGTTTTGAGTCTCCTTCAGCTGAAGATGGTTTTGAAACTGGGTCTTCCGTTTTCTAGATGTGTATTCTTGGCACTAGACTATTGGGAAAATATGAGTTCTTCCTCCTCTGTTTTCTTTTGAGAAGCATGCAAGCTTTCAGCGTGTAAACAGTGACAAGCCTGTTCTGTCCTCATCTAAAGAATCAGATATAGGTGATGTTTATTATTTTCCAGAACCAGTGTGGATTACAACATGCATAGGCAGAGGTTAGTTTTGTAGGTGGCTGATCTGGGTTGGTTCTGAGCATTTGCAGTAGTCAAAGCCCCAGGTGCTTAGGGATCTAGATGTTTAGGCAAAAAGGGAGGTGCCTGCTGTATCTAGATGTCTGAGCAGCTTTGCAATTGTTGAGCAGAGCCCATTAGGATTACTTTTTTTTACTTAAAACTTAGGCACCTCAATCCTGTTTGCTTGTCTACAGGGTCATTTAGGATCTGGCCCTGAAATCTTTATTGCTTGGTAAGTTTCTTAACCTGGATTTTCCAACAAGAAGCTTAAAGGAATTTCCTATCAACCCCTGCTGGCAGAAGGTCTGTTACAGCGTCTGGATTGACACGTTTCTTAAGTATTGTTTAAAAATATGACAAACTCATGTGGCATCACAGTAAGTTCTGTACCTGGAGATTATGTTGTCACAAATGGAAGAATATCATTAGCCAGAAACACTTATTTTAATCAGTAGCAAAAAACCAACCCTCTTAAAAACAAAATTCATTTCCAGACCAACAACAACCCTCTTAAAAACAAAATTTGTTTCTTTAGTAGTAATAGAGAATGAAGGAAGAACATATCCTGTGGATACGTATACACATATATAGGCAGAAAATGAGGCAAAAATCAGCATGTTAAAGAGCAGTTTTTTTCATAAGCTGTTATTAGCCTTGACGTTTTGAAAGTAGCGTGGTATATGGTGCGCTTTTTGGGAAAGCTCAGAGTTGAAAGGTTTTGATGCTTCCACAGCTGCCATGCAAGGTTCCTAGTCACAGTGTAATCAGTGGGGTTCTGTTGCTGGAGAGAATTTGGTGAACCAGCGTTCAGGTTAGAAGCCACCTGGGCAGCTTTGAGTGTAGCTCTTCTCTTGGGCTACATACCCACATTCAAATAATCTGAGAGAATTCTTCCAGGTTTGTTCTCCTGGTAGGAAAAATTACAGCCTCATGTACAGACATTTGAATGCTGAGCCCCTGAAGAGTGGAGAGCTTGTAATGCTGACACCCTGTAGCCAGAAGGGCCCTATGCACATGTCTCAGCATGCTCCCCTAGTCTGCCTAGCAACAGATAGCATTAGTGCATAGGGCAGCCATTTTTACTCTGGAAGAGAACAGCTGAGCATCTGTACACTCATAGTTTCTCCTGCGAGAGCAGCCACTCTCAGGAGGAATTGAATGAGTATATGAGGCATTGGTTTCTACTGAGCTCTGCTGCATAGGCTGAGAGGAATGTTGGGCTGGCAGACGTAGCACTCTTCATTCCCATCTGCCTTTGGGAGGTGGTCTTTTGCTAGAGCTATGCAAAAGACCACAGTTCCATTTGGGGGTAGATTTCAAGATTTCAGAATCTAACTTCTTGCCAAACAGGAACAAGCTCCATAACTGTAGAAATTCTCTGGAAAGAATGGGAAAAATCATTAAAATATTTAAAACAAGAAGTCATTTCAGAATGTTGGAACTGACATTTTTTTTTCACTGTTCCCAAGTTTTCTTCCAAGTGAAATATTGACACAATTTAAGAATTTTCCAGCACATTCTAATTTTTTCTGGTTCCATATTTTTATTGATGGGATATGGTTCTCCAACCCAGTGTAGCAGCAGTCACCAACCTGATCCATTATTGTTTTTTATTCTGGAGCCAGGAGAAAAGTTCTTTACTTTTCAGCCTTGGTTTTTTGAGGTTTTTTTAAAGCCCAAAGAGCTGTGGTGTATTCTCCCTTTACCAGCTAGGCCCCATGTTTCCTTTTTCTTTTTATCTTAAACACTGTGCCCACATTTCCTAGCATTTTGTGCTATTTCATATCATAAACTGTATTTGTGTTCTTGACACATTTGCACAAGTCTTCCTATTGTATAATTTCCAGGTGTGCAGTAGTCTGTATCTTCAGGATCAGGAATAAATGCACCTTCAGTCAAGATGATTTGTAAAGAAAATATTTTGTTAAGAAAACAAAGCTCTGCTTTCTTGAGTTGACTTTGTGCATTATTGTGGAAGAGCTGTCAGTCATTATCCCACACATGATTGAAGAACAGTATCTAATGGATTATGTATATTTTTATTTGATCTCCAGGGAATGCAGCACTGAGTCAGGGTTCAAGCATGGGTCAGCAGAAAGTATGTATAGCCATGTAAACTATTGAAAAATGTGTTTGAATACTGTCTAGCAACTGCCTTAGCTCGAAGACCTGATGCATTGACAACTACCAGTTATAATGAAAAAGAGCTTTAATTGGTAGCACTGTCAAGGATTAACAGTACTAGAAATGAAAATGTAAGAAAGAAAAGCTACAGAAAAGATGCCATCAACCTGTATCTTTCGCACAAATTGAAAGGCTTTAGAAAAAGACTTCAGTATAATAGGACTTATTCTTTCCAATAAAAGAAGTAGTAAATATGTACTAACTTATGATTAAAATTAGTTTGCTGTACTTCCTAGTCACTTTCTTTTTTGCTTTCCTTAAGTGTATCAATTCAATAGTCATGCACTGTCTTCAGTGGCCAAGAGGTGAATTTGTTAATACTGAAGCAAGTGCAGGAACTATTTCAACATTAGTCTCCTTTCAGAAGCCTGAGATAATGGGCTTGTGCGTTATCTACCGGATCACCAGTACCCTTTACTAAAGCACTCTGGGCTTTTCCTGGATGGTCTCTCATCCTCACTGGACACAGTGGCTGGGCTGTATTCTGCAGCTATGCTGGCTTGGGTGGGTCACATTGGACTTGCCTCGTAAACTAGGTAGGATGATATGCACTGTGAGCATAGATGGGAGACCTTTCAAGTACAGGCAGCTACAGTAAAAAGTATTGTTTGCCCTTGTAAATCAGCATTGAACTAATGCCTAGCCATGGGATTTGGAGTACTGTTTCTTAAGAGGGAATTTTTGTACTTTATACCAAAAGGGTCTGAGACCATCTCTCACTCAGAGTTTATTTTTTAGTTGGCCTGCTGGCTGAAGTTCCATTGAGTGTTGTGTTTGGATCATCAGATTACTTTGAGGGAAGTTGCTTAGTCTGGTGCTTGTCAGCTGATGAGCTTCCTTAGGTTTCCACCTCCAGGCATTTCTGCCATTCTCTCTGATAGATGAGTGAGGGCATCTCCATTAGACTAC